GGGGGCTGCCGGGGGGCTGGAGGGTGCCGGCTGAGGGGCTGGACGGCAGCTGCGCCAGCCGTGGCCCGGCTGTGACTGGGCAGCTTCCACCAGGGGCTGTCACACAGCCCTGACCCTCGCCCTGTTCTGTTCATGTGTAAAATGAAATCAGTGACGCTGAGGGTGTGTTAGCTTCCTGGGGCTGCAGTAATGAATTGCCACAAACTGGGGGGCTTAAAACAACAGAAATGTGCTCTGGAGGCTGGAAGCCCAAAATCCAGCAGCGTTCACCCGCTGAAGGCGCTGGGGAGCACCCTTCCCACCTTCTCCGGCTCGGGCGACTCCAGGCCTCCTGGGCTTGTGGGCACGTCACTCTGTGACTTGGCTTCTCGTGGCCTCTCCTCTGTGCATCTGTCTTTCCTTTTTTGTCTCTTATAAAGACACCCGTCTTTGGTTTTTTTAAATTTATTTATTTATTTTTGGCTGTGTTGGGTCTTCGTTGCTGCGTGCGGGCTACTCTCTAGTGGCAGCGAGCGGGGCCTACTCTTCCTTGCGGTGCGTGGGCTTCTCACTGCGGTGGCTTCTCTTGTTGCGGAGCATGGGCTCTAGGTGCGCGGGCTTCTCACTGCGGTGGCTTCTCTTGTTGCGGAGCATGGGCTCTAGGTGCATGGGCTTCTCACTGCGGTGGCTTCTCTTGTTGCGGAGCATGGGCTCTAGGTGCACGGGCTTCAGTAGTTGTGGCACGTGGGCTCAGTAGTTGTGGCTCGCGGGCTCTAGAGCACAGGCTCAGTAGTTGTGGCGCACGGGCTTCGTTGCTCCGCGGCATGTGGGATCCTCCCGAACCAGGGCTCGAACCCGTGTCCCTTGCATTGGCAGGTGGATTCTTAACCACTGCGCCACCAGGGAAGTCCCAAGACACTTGTCTTTAGATTTAGGGCCACGCGGATAATCCTGGGTGACTCATTTTGAGATCCTTACCTTGTTCACGTCTGCAAAGACCCTTTCTCCAAATAAGGTCATGTTTGCAGATTTGGGGGGGTCAGGACGTGGAAATGTCTTTTGGGGGCCCCCATTCACCCCAGTGCAGGCGGGCGAGCGTACGCATGGAGTCTCAGATCTCTGTAAGGAGTAGGATGTGAGCTGCATTTCAGTTAGAGCCAGGGAAAAGGGTCTCGGGGACACATGCTGGCTCTCTCATGTAGGTCCCCAAGCCAGCCTCGCAAGTGCAGGCATCCAGGACGGCAAGACCTGCTTGGCAGCAGGAGGCGTCTGAGGAGCGTGACGTATGGGGCGACACAGGGGCTCGTAGCAAACGAGGCTCTAGCCCACGAGTCGGCAAACCAGGGCCCTGAGCCACATGCGGCCCGCGGCTTGTTTCTGCTGTAAAGTTTTACTGGAACACAGCCATTCACTTACGCGTGGTCTGCGGCTACTCTTGAGTTCAGTAGTTGTGACAGAGGCTGCGTGGTCCACGTAGCCGAAAACAGGTACTGTGCGACTCTTCACAGGAGGGTTATGGACTTTGCTCTCGGCTGTATCACTGGGAGCGTAACTCCTAGAACAAAGGGGTGACAGTCTGGCCCTGCCTTGCTGTTAGGGCCACAACTGAAGCGAACGGTGTGTCCTGTGACAGAAGGCCCTCACCCTCACCTGTGCCAGGTGATGGGGCTGTCACTGCTCCAGCAGAAGAGGGCCTGCCTTCGAGAGCTCATCTTCCAGGGTGGGGAGTGGGGAGACTGGAAACATGGGACAGACAGCTACCTAGAAAAGCCACCGGGAGAGATGCCGGCCTTCCCTGGGGAGAGGCGTGGCAGGAGGGGTCGGCGTGTCCGGGGATGGGGCGGCCCGTGTGGCTGGCCGGGCTGTCATCACGCCCGTGGTCCCTTCCCTAGCCGCCTCGGTGGCTTCCCTTTGTCCACGCACATTTTTACTGGGAGCCTTTCTGTGCTCACCGCCTCCCCAAGCTTTCACCTCTTGGGCCTCTGGTGACACATCAGGGAGCACTTCCATAACAACACATGCCCTTCATGCCACGTGTGTGACTAATTTCTCTCCGGGCCGGGCCACGAGCTTCCTAAGGGAGCCGTGCTCGGGAGCGAACACACTGGAACCCTTGGGTGGGCAGATGGGTTTTTGTGGGTTCTGGGGTCTTGTTTGTTTCCCTCAAAATGAGAACACCTTTACTTTTTTCTGAGGTAAGCATTTCAAACCCTACAAGTAGGGTGTCAGACAGGAAGTGGAGCTCCCCCATCACAATCCCCGGATTTTGAAATACAGGCGTGTTGGAGTCCAGTCACTGAGGCTGGTCTGTGTGCTGCCTGGGGCTGCCTTCACGGGCGGCCGGGACAGACTGTCCACCCTCCGCCTTCATGAGGAAGGGGCTGTGGCTGTGGTTCGATGGCAAACAGGCAGGAAGCACCACCCTTGTTCTCCGCTGGCGGCAAAGATGAGTCTTGAGTCCAGCTCGTCGGGATCTGGTTGTCACTTGGGTCTGTGGGGCTGCTTTTCCAGCGTTCGGGGGTTGGGCCGGGGGAAGCAGTTCATCACTTCGTCCCGCGCCCGCCCCTCCGTCCCCTCCTGCCCGGACGAGGGGGCTTGATCGTCGAGCATGCGGGGCTCGGGGCTGTCCGACACTTCAGTGTTCACATTAGGCCCCGGACCCCTCACCTTCATCAGAGACCGGGCGGCGGCGGCGCTGGGCGCGCTTAGGAGGGTCGCTCGTGCTCTGAGCTAGGGCGGTTCTTCAGGGCCACACAGGCGGCCAGGAGAGGCGGGGATACCAGCACAGCGATGAGGGTGTTGAGGGAAATGGGAACTTGAGACAGACTCCGGCGCGTCCCCTGCAGGCTCTCGGGGGCGGCTCGTGTCGCGTCTGGCAGAGGGACCCAAGCCCAGTGGCCCTCCTGCCCTCCCCGGCGCTGGAGTCCAGCTCACACCCTGGAAACGGAGAAATCCAGGAGGTGAAGTGGCTCTGGGTGTGGCAGGAAACCACCCTTGCAGGGCCGAGGCGGGAGGCCTGAGCCCCCGGGCAGGCTCCGTGCTGTCCTGCCAGCAGCCTGAGTGTGGCCCCCGTGGCCCCGGGGTCTGGGGCAGGCTGGAGGCCCTGGCTGGGGGCCAGGGTCAGGTGGGCGGGCCAGCCAGGGCTTGCTCTGAGCCCACTTACGCTGTGTGGCCGGGGCTGTGTGGGTGGGGTCACCCTCTTGCACCCGAGGAGGTGGAGGTGCAGGGGGGCCGGGGCCCAGACTCGGGCGAGCGGGGCCGGGCCGGGGCGGTAGCTGCACTGCACCGCGTGCCTGACGGCCCCCGCGCCCTCCGCAGACTGCCTGCTGATGCTGGCCTACAAGGACAGGGCGGAGCGAGCCCGCGGGATGCGGGAGCGCAGCAGCCTCGCGCTGGAGGACATCTGCGGCCTGGAGCCCGGCCTGCCCTACGAGGGCCTGGCCCACACGCTGGCCATCGTCTGCCTGTCGCAGGCCGTCATGCTGGGCTTCGACAGCCGGGAGGCCATGTGCGCCTGGGACGCCCGGATCCGCCACGCGCTGGGTGAGGGTGAGTGACACCGGCGCGGGGCTCCGGGGGCCCAGCCTCTGTCCTGAAGCGTCCCGCGGGCCCCACCGACGGGCTGCAGAGGCCGGGACGCGACTCCAGGCCACGGAGCCCAGGGCTTGCGGAGCGCCCTCCGCCCGGCCGCAATTGGGGCGGGGGGCCCCTCTTGAGCTCCCTGACTTTTGACCCCATTCGTCTGAACTAGAGCTTTTAGCCCCAGCGGGCGGCTGGCTGAGCAGTGATCCACAAGTGCTGCCCTTGGCTTCTCACGGGGCCGCCTGAGCCCAGAGCCGGGGCGGCAGGAGCCGCGCGGTGTCGGGAGCGCCGTCCCCCGCGTGTCCCTCAAGGGGAGTAGCGGGGTGCGGGGAGCGCTCTCGGGAGATGGGGGGACCCAGCCCACCTCTCAGCCCCGCTGCCCACCCGGCTGTGTGAGCAGAGGCGGGCGGGCCCCCAGCTGAGCCATCAGAACCCATGATGTTTTTAAAAATATTAAAAAAATTGAAGTAGAGTTAATTTACAATGTTGTATTAGTTTCAGGTGTCCAGCAAAGTGGTTCAGTTACACACATATATTCTTTTTCATGTTCTTTTCCATTATAATTTCTTACAGATAATGAGTAGAGTTCCCTGTGCTATACAGTAGGGCCTTCTTGTTTCCCCATTCTATATAGAGTAGTGTGTATATTTTCATCCCCACGTCCTAATTTATCTCGAAACCCGGGATATTTTAACACCGTATTTTAAAAATTCAAAATTAAAGCCAAAAGCCCGTGACGAACGAAGTGTCAGAATTCAGAGTGAAGCTGGGCTCCGAGCCACGCTCAGACATTCCCGTCCTCAGCTGCCCCAGCGCCACGGCCAGCCTGGTCTCGATTCATACATTTGCTGTTTCGCTCACCGTGGGCTTTTTGCGTTAATTTTTGTTGTTTAAATAATCACTAAAATGTCAGTGATCTTGGCCACTGTCTTGTGCTCAGGTAAGGCCCTTGCTCACCTCACACCAGCCCAGCCCGGCTAGCGGGCTGCGGCCCCTCCCACCTCCGGGCGCCCCCAGAGCAGTCCCCTAGTCTGGGGACATGTGGACGGCTCAGTGAGGGGATGCAGTGGCAGAAGGGAAGAGCCGCGCCTTTCCAGAAAGTTCTGCGGTTGGGGGTTCCCGCCAGTTCAGCCTGGCTCAGGGCACGGCTCCTTTTCTGCTACGGGGCAGGCAGGGCCCTCGCACAGAGGCAGCTGGCGCCCTGTCTCGGCACCTTGCCAGAAATCACCAGGACACTGATGGGGTCGCTGATCCCCAGCCTCCTTGGGCCGGGCACGGCAGGCCCTCAGGGCTTCCTTGCCTAGGAGCCCCCTCGACGCCCCACTGCAGGGGCTTGGGTGGGGCTCAGGGAGGAGGAGGTGGGGCTGGGACTGGGCCCCTCTGGGTTGGAGATGAGGCTGGTGGGCACGGGCGGGTAGGCCGCCGTCCACTCCTGGGCCCGGCTACTCCGGGGTGCCCCCTCTTCCGAGGTGGGAGCCATCTGGGGAGAGAAGACCACCCTTCTGAGGGGCTTCAGGACAGAGCGCCGAGCCGGGGTAGTGGATGAGATCTCGGGGAGCAAGTTGTCCTGCTCGGCGCCAGGGAGAACCCCTAACTGGAGAGGGAAGGGGGTCCACGGTTTCCCGAGCGTCCCTGCGGTCAGGCTGGGCTGCGAGGCAGACCTTAGACTCTCCACGGACCAATGGGAGGCTGGGCCTCCTGGGCCTCCGTTTCCCCATCTTTGAAATGGGACCACAGCAGCTACCCTGGGCGGGGGTTCTCAGAGGACGTGCTGTGAACGGGAGTCCTGAGGCTGCGGACCTACCAGGAGGCGCGTGTGAGCTTTTGCTGGAGCTCGCTGGGGCCAAGTTAGGATGGGGAGGGGGCCCCCGAGGATGGGAGAGGTGAGTGTAGCCACCTCGGGGCTGGACGCTGCGCTGGGAGGCGGGGTGGGGCAGACCTGCCCTCTGAGCTGACCCTGGGAAGCTGCGCCCCTCCCACGCCTCTGCCCCAGCCACGCCCTCTCGCCCCTGCCCCGCCCTTAGTGCACAGGTTCCACGTGACCGTGGCTCCAGGCACCAAGCTGGAGAGCGGACCCGCCACCCTGCACCTCTGCAATGACATCCTCGTCGTGGCCAGGGACGTCCCTCCGGCCGTCACGGGGCAGTGGAAGCTGTCGGACCTCCGGCGCTATGGGGCCGTGCCCAGCGGGTTCATCTTTGAAGGAGGGACCAGGTGTGGGTACTGTAAGTATGTGGGCCGTGGGGACCCTGGGCCGCGGGCAGCCCCAGACCTCCCGGCTTCCCGGCCCGACCGTGGTTCAGAGCCGACCCTCCTGCTTGCAGCTGGCCTCTCGGGGACACGGCAGGGTTATGTCTTTTAAGGTCGAGCCCAGACCCTCAGCCGTCTCTGTTCTTGCTGTTGGAGGGTGGGTGTCAGCCGTCTCTGTTCTTGCTGTTGGAGGCTGAGAGGAGGCCCCTCCCGCGGGAAGCCCGTGCAGGGGCCGCCCGGAGGCAGCTCATGGGCCTACGTCCCAGGTCACAGAGCATCAGAGCGGCTCAGGCTGGCTTTAAAAAAAAAAAAAAGGGGGAAGAAGAAGAATAGATGCATTTATTGAGGATGTGTTGAGAAACTCCATAGTGGACCCGCCAGCTCCCTGGGCCCTCCCAGGCCGGACGTCACAGGTGGGGGCCGAACGCGACGGCCCAGCAGTGAGGCAGGGGTCCCGAGGGCCGAGGTGGTGTCCGAGCTCCAGCAAGCTGTCCTCCAGGCCGGGAGGGGCGTGGTGGGAGTGGGGGATATTCCAGTGCCCCCAGCCTGCTGTTCTCCGAGTTGGGGGCCTCTGTGGACCTGCTGTCGCCGCGGGGAGCGAGAAGTCCCTTCCCTCCTCTCCAGCGGGGCCGAGCCTATCTACGTGGCCTCGCTGGGCTTGCGGCCGGCCGAGGGCCTCCTGCTGACCAGCTGGGCGGCCTCGAGGGCCACGGTCAGTGTGCTGGGCTGTGGGCTGTGCATCCCCACCTCCGTTCAGCCTGGGACCCTGGTCAGGGGGATCATCGGCCCCTCCCTCGTGTGCAGGGTGGATGGAGGCTCTAAGCCGGGGGCGACCTCTCTCCACCTCTCCACCCCCGTAAAGGGGCATTAACCGCCCCCCTCCCTGCCACCCGCAGCCTCATGAGAGCACGCAGATGGCCAGGGCCTACCGCAGGGCCTGGCACACGCTCGGTATGGCCAGGATGGGGTCCACCTGGCTCTGGGGCCTTGGTCATGCCTGGATCTCTCTGGACAGAGGACACGGTTGCGCTGCGTGCTGGGCACCTGGCCCCCTCATTCCGCAAGGGGTGTGTGAGGTGGGACAGGCTGATCCGGCCCAGCCGGGCAGCCCGCAGGGCCCTGCCTTTGAGGGGACAAGACGTAGGCTTCAAAGGCGCTTAGCAAACAGGTGAACAAGCAGGTGAGGGCCAGGTTCCTGCTCAAGGCAGCAAGATGTCTGTAGCCACTGAATTGGTCCTGGGCTTGGGGGAGGTTACAAGCTTGGAGAGGCAGAGAGGCAGGGAGGGGTGATGTAGCGGAGGCGTAGGTGGACCTCTGGGGCGGGCAGTTTGGCGCAGCGGCCCTGGAGCTGGTGGGGCGGCTGCAGACGGCGCCCGAAGGGCCTTGACCGTGGCTGCGCCTGTGCGTTTCCCATGTGGAGTTTTTGAGCCTGAGTGAGGGGTGAGCGCAGCTATCGGCCTGCCTGCCTGGGCTGTTGTGGAAGGGTGCACGGGACATTGGCCAGAGTCCTTTCTGCTGGACAAGCCGTGGGCCACCTCGTCTTTGGTACATCAGAGGTGACAGCGGCGGTTGGTGCAGGGGACCCTGGCCCAGCTTTGTTTCCCTCCCTCGCGTGGCTGGCCGGGAGCCGCAGGTCACAGCGTACTTGGCACGTGGCGGCCCTTCCCTTCCGAGATCTCCTCCATGTGGGGCCCTGGAGCTGCTGGGGGCACCCCGGGCAGGGTCGGGGGGAGAGACCAGCGTCCTGCTGGAACTGTGGAATCCCTGCGCGCTGAGCCTCAGACAGGATGGCTTGTGGCTGCTTTGAGGACTGGGGTTCAGACCTGGGGTTGGTGCTGGCGTGTGCCCTCGAGCAGGGGCAGGCCAGGAGGACCGGCTCCTTGGAGACTGTTTTATTTGCCCGGACGTAATGTGATAGAGCCCTCTAGATATTTGTCCCCTGAGGCCTCGGGGTTGAAAATTCCGACTCTTGGTGTGGGTGGGCTCCTCCTGCGATCGATCGTCAGCAATTCCAGGCAGCGGAGCAGCGCTTCCTGCGAGGGCAGAAGCTGAACCTCGAGCCGCTGTGCCTTCCCTGGGTCCCCAGCGTGAACTGTGACAGGGCCGCCCTGGTTCTTCTGCCTGAGGCCTCGAGTTAGCTCCGTCCACAAACCCGGGCTGGCCCAGCGGATCCGCCTTGACCTGCAGGCTGGACATTCTCCCTCCCGCTGAGGGACCCTGGACCGAGAGAGACTCCCTGTTGGGCATCCTCATCTCCCCTCCAGGCTGTCTGGAGGCCCCTGGCCAAACCCACCCAGTCAATGGTGGCCGAACATGATGGTGGGTGGCTAGGCCAGCCTGTCTCGACCCTCTGCCCCCGGCAGGTCCCACTGGGCTCCGTTCTCTTCCAGGGACAAGCTTGCCACTGCTCTGCTGGTTTAAGCCAGTTTTTAGGCTGTTACCGGACTCGATGCAGGGCTGGGTGGGAAGGGACGGTGCACCCCTGTGCGTGTGGTCAGAGCACCAGGCCACTCAGGACCCGGGCCGTCCTGGGAGGAGGGCGGCTAGTTCAGGTCCAGGAAGGGGTGTGAGTTAGGGTCCTGGGGCCACGTAGCAAATGACCACAAACCGGGGCCTTAGAACAACACAAATTTGTTCCTTCACCGTTTCGTTCAAAGTCAAAGTTGGGAAGGGCCGGGCTCCCTCGGGGGTCCGGGGGAGGGTCTTCCCTGCCTGTTCCAGCTCCCGGGGGCGCCAGGTGTGCCTGGGCTTGTGGCCGCTCCCGTCTCTGCTCCGGCATCACGGGGCGTCTCTGTAGGACGCCAGTCGTTGGGTTTAAGGCCGCCCCGCACTCGGGGGTGGTCTGTCTGCGAGCCTTCACTTGAGCACCTGCAGAGACCCTTTTCCAGATAAGGCCACCGTCATCGGCTCCAGGATGTGAACCTATCGTTTGGAGCCACGGTTCAGCCCATGGCAGGGGTCACCTGAGCGGTGACGGTACCAGTGTTGAGATCTCGATGAGTCTGTGGGCACCGGGACAGAGTGGGTCAGAGTCCCCAGAAGGCCCGGGAGGGTTTTGGATGTAAGGAATCAACATCTTCTCCCCTGGGGCAGGTCCCAGCCTCAGCCCACTCCAGAGAGCAGTAACTCGACCCTGGCCCCCTTCACCTGTCCTGAGGCGTGGGTGACTGGATGTCAGGAGAGGGCCCTGGAGCATGTGGGGGAGGGGTCGGGCAGGTGTGCGGGGGGCTCCGTGGGGCTCCGGGTACGGCGGGGGTGGACGTGTCCTCTCTGTGGCCTCCACGTGGACGACAGCCTGTGCAGATGATTCGGATGGGGGTTGGGCTTGGTGGCCGGGAGCTTGAGGTCCCCCAGCGTGGCCCGATTCTCTCTCTCTGGGGTGGTCACGGCCCGCTGTGTGTGTTTAGGGCTGCAGGGCGGGGGCAGGGCATGCTGGTGAGGGTGGCACAGAGGCTTGGGGGCCCTTCCCCAGCAAGAGGCTCAGCAGGCAGGGAGAATGGTGGGCCCGGGAGAGTGGGGTCTGTCCGCGGTCTGGAGCCCGGGGAGGGCTTTGGAGAGGGCCAGGGGGCATTTGAACGGAAGTTTCTAGTATGAGGGGCCCCAGAGGAAGTCCCCGTCCTTTACATTGGCAGGTCCTGTCAAGGGCACTTCAAGGGCATTTCCACGTCCGTGTGAGCCGGCTGCGGACAGGATCGGGGTCCTGGGACGCTGAGGAGTTCAGCAGGTGGTGGAGGGCGGGCGTCCCAGGCTGGCTCCTGACTCTGTGCAGGCTGCTTCCCCTCTCCTTCTCCCTGGCTCCTTGGGGTCCAGGCCATCCTGTCAGCCCCTTGGGGTGCAGTGAGCATTTTAAAACGATTTTTATATGTGCGTAAAGGAGAAGCTCTGAACTAGGGAGAGACCGTCTTGCCACGCCTGTCCAGCTCTGAGAAGCCCTTAAGTGCCTCTTTTGTGGTCCAAATGCTGGTCTCGCTGGAACTGCTGGAGCCCTGGTCTTGAAGCCCAGGAATCTTGGGGAGGAGGGAATGCATTCAGGGGCTTCTCTGTGGCCTGCACTGGGTGAGGGGTTGGAGCTGGGAGCACACGGCTGGGGAGACTCAGCCTGTGTGGGAGGACACAAGGCGTTTAGAATCCTCGGGGCCACAGGGGGAGCCGGGGAGGGCCACAGACCCCAGCCTGGGAGCGTTGGGGAGGCCCTCTGGAGGTGAACCTGAGTGGGGCCTCTGCGGGGTGAATAGGAGTTGGCCCAGCCGCCGAAGGTAGGGAGGGCTGGGGGGAAGAGAGAAGGTGCTCCAGCCGTACATTAAGCACGGCTGGGTGATGGGAACAGTGTGTGCGGGGTGGCAGAGGTGAGGTAAGAGGAGGAATCTGGACCAGAGCTTGCACTGTGTTCCCAGGGTAGCAGGGAGCCATCAAAGGTGCTAGAGCAGGACAGTGCCACCCACAGATCTGTGTTGAGGGCGATAACTGTGGCCCCAGGGTGCAGACGGGATGGAGGCAGGGGCCGTGAGTGGGCGTGAGATGTGCATCCGCTGAGGCAGGGTCCTGCTGTGGGCGGCAGCTGGGTGGGTGGGCCGGGCCTGTGGGTTCAGGAATGTTAAGGCGGTGGGGGAGGGGGGGGGGGAGGGAGGGCCAGCGGGGGGGGGGGGGGGAGGAGGGCGAGGCCAGGCGAGGGTCCCAGCAGCGTGGGCCTGGGCTGAGCGGTCCAGAGCTTTGCCGGGAGCGTTGGGGAGGCCCTCTGGAGGTGAACCTGCGCGGTGGGGCAGGCATCCCAGGCTGGGTTGCAGCCCGTGCAGAGGCCCCGTCAGGAACCTGTTCAGGTTTATACTTGGAGGTTGAGTCTCGCCTTGGGGCCCCTGTCACATTTCTGACAGGTTTGTGGTTGATTTCAGCCCTCTGCCCTGAAGTCTCTGCTCCGGGGGTGGGAGTTGGGCCCGGAATCTGTCACCCTTTTGTAGTCCACTATGGCATTTGCATA